AACTGAAATGTAAGTGTACTGAGATGCTGATCCACAGATCACACTCATCACCTGTGTTCTGCCTTGGAATTGCTGAGAGGTGGATACCAGATGGTAGTTATATTTACATCCCCTCTAGTCATGGTTAGCCACTGTGACTCCAGCCAGATGGGGTGATTTTCTGGCAGAGAGTTTGTGTGCATAATAGCACATGGGATTGTGTTCTCTCTAGACAATTAAGTGTCATGACCAGAGCCCTGGAGATGGAATCTCTCATCACATTCCCTAATGGCAAATCTTCAGAGTTGTGTTGGGCAGCAGTGTCGGGCTGAGGTCAGCTGAAGATCTTCCCATATTTTCTGTCACAGCAGAAACTTTACTGGGATGGAGTTACATTTATGCAACCGATCCTTGGAGGCCAAAAGGGTTCATATCTCACAGGGATTAAAAACTCAGGGTTACTGATGTTGGGTGAGACCTTCCAGCTTCTATCTCGGTTGTACCTTGGATCCAGGGGCTCCTTTGAGGTCGAGAATCTGAGACTCCTGGCTGGCCCTGCCCTGGTGCTCATATCAAGCTGCCTCCCATGTCCTACGATCAAGCAGTGTCCTGAGTCACCAAGGCTGACCTTGAACAGAAGGAGGAAGCTTGAGTTTGTGTTGGCACACCATACCCATCTGCCTTTCTCAACTGTTCCCCAAACAGACTTCTTCAAGCAAGCTTCCTGAAAGTTCCACACTGGGGATGGCAGTGTGCTAGAGGCAATTTAGATGTCCACTGTGGTCAGTACTTCCCGCCTTTCCTGTTTGTCAGCGTCTTCCCTCTCCCTCTCTTTCCCGTCTGTTTCCATGGCTTTCTTTTTCCTTCTTCACTTTACTTGACTGTTCTTTCTTTTCTGATGTATGAAATGAAGGTCAGGGAGAAAGGGAAAGGGGAGGGGAGGGAGAAGGAGAAGGGGGAGGAGAAGAGAGAGGGAAAGAGCCATCTGTGTTTTCTGCAGGTGGTGACTCTATAATGTTTGTTTGGTTGTATTGTTGATGTTTCTTCACCCCATGGAGTTGTTGGAAGGATCAAATATGGACCATTTATCCCAGAGCCTGGCACACTGTAAGGGCTCAGTACATTCTAGTTCTTAGTATTGAGGAGTTTGCCCTGAGAATAAACAACCTCAAATCTAGAATATTCCAGTTGAGTGACTTCCCCCATCCCTTTAAAAAAGTACCTTTACCCGAAGTTCCTTCAGGATGATTATCTGAATACAGAGACAACTCAGGGAAAGGCCAGGACTTCATCCTGATAGAGTGAAATACTTTTCAAACAACCTTGACACCGCAACTGCCACTTACACATACACCAAAAGAAAATGAAAACAAACTTTCAATAAACAATACTTGCCTTCAAAGCTTGGGATTTGTGTCACATTCCATTCTCTTTCATTAGAAAAAGTGCTGCTGAGCGGTGGTGGCGCACGCCTTTAGTTCCAGCACTCTGGAAGTAGAGGCAGGCTGATTTACAGAGTGAGTTCCGGGACAGCCAGGGCTGTTATACAGAGAAACCCTGTATGTTGGGGGGTGAGGTGTGGATGTCATATACTCCGATGACATACACTGTCGATGTCAGTCAGTGGGTTGTCACTGTCAAAAAGTAATGGGATTTGTCAGGCTTTTCTTCTCCTTGGCCTTCCATCCTGACTCCACACATATGCTGTATTCTCAATTCTCCCAGTTCCCCCTTTTGTCCACCAAGTTAAAAGCAAATTCAAATTATATCCTTTTGGACATTTCTTCATTTCTCCGTTTCTTTTTATTTAATTTTTTCATATATTTTGATCATGTTTTCCCCTCTCCCAATTCCTTCCAGATTCCCCCCTTTATATTTTTTATAATTATTTTTATTTGCTGTGTATGGGTGTCTTGTTTGCACTTATGTCTTTGCACCATGTGAATTCTTGGTGTCTGTATAGTCAGAAAACAACATTGGATACCTTGGTGAGTCACCATGAAGGTGCTGGGAATTGAACCCAGGTCCTCTGGAAGAACAACAAATGCTTCTAACCACTGAGCCATCTCTCCAGCCCCTTCCATTTCTTTTCTCTACTCCTTATATGCTCTTTCCTCCTTAAGCAAGAGATGATCTTTTTTCAGTGCGGTTTCCTGAATGAATAGTAATAACCAGAATGCTAACAACAGTCCTATTAACAATGACAGCTAAGGGGCTAGAGAGGAGCACTGACTGCTCTTCCAGACCAGAGGGCCTGGGTTCAATTCCCAGCACCCACATGGCAGCTCACAACTGTCTGTAACTTCAGTTCCAGGAAATCCAACATCCTCACAGACATACATACAGGCAAAACAACAATGTACATTAAAGCAAAAAGCAACAAAACCCGAAAAACAAAACAATGACAGCTAGGTAGCACCCTGTGGTGGTTTGAATGAAAATGGCCTCTACAGACTCATAGGGAGTGGCACTGTTGGAGGTGTGGCCTTGTTGAGGAAGTGTGTCACTAGGTGTGGGTTCTGAGGTTTCAGAAGCTCAAGCCAGGCCTACTGGCTCACTCTCTCTTCCTGCTGCCTGTGGATCTATGTGTAGAACTCTCAGCTACCTCTCTAGCACCATGTCTGCCCGCACACCGCCAGGCTTCACAACCTGATGATAATGGACTAAATCTCTGAACTGTAAGCCAGCCCTAATTAAATGTTTACATTTATAGGAGTTGCCGTGGTCTTGGTGTCTTGTCAAGGCAATAGAAACCCCAAGTAAAGCACACCTGCTTTGTGTACACTCTGTGCCAAGCACCCATCTAGAGTGCTTAGAAATTTCAACTATCTGTATAGCTCCTCTTCTTGCTCCTTAGTCATTTAAACAATAAACTCTGGCCTAAACACTTAATTAAACAGAAACAGTAACATTCTGGAGCAATCTGTTACCAGTCCTGATGTGAAAACCAGATCTTGACAGTAACCACCACCCTGGTTGGGTAAACTGAGACTTTGCATGTGCTGTAATTAGCAGGCAGAGCTCAAATTGGAAAATGTGGAAGTTTTGTCACAAGTTAACATCTGCCCAGACAAAATTCATGGAACATCTCCTGTTTGATCCCTATTGTAATGCCTTGCTCAGTTAATTCACTTTTCTTTTTTTGTCTTTATTTTTTTGTTAGTTCAAATTAGGAACAAGCTTGTTTCACATGTCAATCCCTTCTCCCTCTCCCACCTGCCCCCCACCCCATCTACCCTCCATTCCCCAGGCTGGGTAGGGCCCTCAACAGGGCCTCCCAAAAGTCCACCACATCATCCTGGGCTAGGCCTAGGCCGTTCCCCATGTGTCCAGGCCGAGACGTGGGATGGGCTCTCAAAGTCCTTTCTTATACCAGGGAAAAATACTAATCCACCACCAGGGGCCCCCTAGAGTGCAGAGGCCTCCTCATTGACATTCATGTTCAGGGGACTGGATCAGTCCTGTGCTGGCCTCCCAGACAGCAATCTGGGGTCCTTGTGCTCCCCCTTGTACAGGCCAGCTGTTTCTGTGGGTTTCACCAGCCTGGTACCTACCTCTTTGATCTTCATTCCTCCCTCTCTGCAACTAGGTTCCAGAGTTCAGCTCAGTGTACATCTGTGGGTGCCTGCCTCTGCTTCCATCAGCCACTGGATGAGGGCTCTAGGATGGCATAAAAAGTAGTCATCCGTCTCATCATAGGGGACACTTTAATATTTTCAACACGTAGTACTAGTGTTGTTTTCTGATTGCAGAAGCAATGACACACTCACCATTAGAATTCTAGAACTTGAAGACAAGTATAAGAGTGAAAATCAAATCGAGCCTGAAGCCTGCAGCAGCTGTCACATTTGGGGCAGTACGGAGTGTTCAGGTCCCAGACAGCTCTCCTCAGCCTATAGCCACTCTTGAAAGACAGAATGGGGGACTGAGCATGTTGAGAAAGGCAGCAGCTGTTGGGGCTGCATAGTAGCTGCCTTTCCCAGACAGGGTAGGGCAGGGTAGGGCTGGGTGGGTGTATTACGTCTGCCCCAACCCCCCTCCGCCCTTCTTCTTGTACTTAGTCACTTCATTTTATTGCTCCTCTTGAGTCCTTCCAGGAGACTGAGTTTTCTGTTAGTTAAGACACAATTCTTTGCCCAACAGTTTAGAGGCCTATCTATTTTTTTGGGGGGGGGTAGTGGTGACAAAGATGAGTGTTCCCTTAAGTCCTCTGTTCCTGTCTTCTATTCTCCCTTTCCTAGGCCATGTAGAATTTCAATGAGCTATCTTGAAGATTTATTTCTTTAAGCACACCTCAAACCTACCCTGTATATTATTTATTCAATGGTGGCCATATTTCTATGAGCCTGTAAATCTGAGTTCATTAAGAAAATACTTCTTAGGGGCTGGAGAGATGGCTCAGCCATTAAAGGTGTTTGCTGCTCTTTCAGAAGTCCTGGATTCTGTTCCAAAAACCCATGTTGGATAGCTTACAACTGCCTGTCATTCCAGCTCCAGGGGATCTAATGCTCTCTTCTGGGCTCTGGGGGTATTGCACACACCTGCTCCTACACCACCTCTCCCCACCCACCATTAAAAAGAAAGTAACTCTTTCTCCTGCTTTCACAATTGCCAAATAGTGAGGACAGCCATTCTTGCCCCAGATCATTTCCTCTTGATGCCTTGGTTTCTTTTAAGGACTAGGATTCTGCATTTGACCTGATCATATCCACTATAAATATTTCCCCATCAAAATGAGACATGGTGCTGGCTACTTGATCAGAAGGCAACAGGAAGTGAACTGTGACTCTGGACAGCATCTTGAGCATAGGAGACTTCAAAGCCCACCCCTTGTGACACACTTCCTGCAACAAAATCACACCAACTCCAACAGGGCCACACTTCCTCATAGTGCCACTCCCTTTGGGGGCCATTTTCTTGCAAACCATTCCAGTCACCAAACTAGACTTGGATGGGATAGTTTCTTGGTGTGTCATTGGTGTTATACTGGAGTAAACAGACGTTTGTTCATGTTTCCCTAGGAAAAGTCACACAACACAGTTGGTGCCTGAAGAGGAACAGAACCAAGAGTGAGTAGTTGCACAGCCCTTATGGTGGGTGATAAATCATTCAGATTAGGCTGATACATCTGAGGGCAGAGCACACCCAGGGGCATATCCAGTATGGCTGCCTTTCCCCGTGTGGTATGGAATTGTGTGCTTCTCTGCTGTAGTGGCAATTTGTGTGCACTCTGATGTGGCCGATAAGTCAATGTGGGCAAGACTGAGTCACCTGAGGGTGGGCATCTTTGTGGTAATACCGGGGTGGCCTCCTTCCTCTGTGTGACATGGCATGTCTTCTTGATGAATGTGTTCTACTGTTTGAGTGTGGACATGTGCCCAGGGGATGGCCTGGAGAATACACTATATCTGTTGGAAGTAGTATTGGATAGGATGGAGTCAGAAACAGCCATGATAACAAGAAGAAGACAGATGGATGCCATTCTTTGACTTATCCTTCTACCTGACAGGAAAAACAGCAAAAAGGGAGGATAAGATGGAGGCCCACATTTGGTTTTTCTTATAGCTGATAGGGTTCAAGAGAGAAAGAGAATGCAAACTAAGTGTGTGCCAGAAGCCCTTCTTGGAACCCCCAAACTTGCAATCTATGAGAAGAATCAGACAGCAAGGAGGAAGAGGGGGAGGCAGAAATGATAGACAATGCCTACAAGCCTGACATTTATCACAGAGGAAGAGAAAAATCCCATGACTCAGCACGCAGGCCGGAGATATAATTGTGACTCAGTACAGGAAACTATGATAATTGGGGCATTTTCTGCCTCTGAGCTGCTTGAGTTAGGAAGGACTTTTCAATAAATGAGAGAGTTCCTCAGAGCCCCCGTTCATGAGGCTGTGAGACACAGGAAGGGTGGGAGGAGGCCGAGTGCTGCAGGAGAGAAATGGAGGAATGTGACTACTCACCCATCCTTGGGACAAAGGCTGCACAACCCCAGGAAATATGAGGGACACAAGTCCCCTGTGGACTGTCTCCCATGTATCATTAACGATGCTTGGTTATCACTGGCTGAGATCCCCATGAATATCACGGACTTGAACATGATAGAGCGAGGACTGGTGTTAGTGCGGGAAATTGGGCCTTTAAGGAGAAGTGTCTGAGGCCCAGTAAACCAGGCCTGATTGAACTAGGTTCATGGGAGAGTTAAGAAGCTGATGCAGGATGGTGATGGGATCGTTATGAAAAAGAAAAGTCTGATGGATGTGAATGACCTAGATGGCTTACAAGTCAGGTTCATAAAGAGAGGATAGGAAGAAAAAAGAGCAGACTGAGGGGACTATCTGAACCACTCAAGAGTGAATAAGGCAAGATTTGCATGGAGCCCAAAGGTCTAGGTGAAAAAATGGACAGAAGGTCAGATTCGGTGCTTGTGAGACTCTGGATGGTTTTGAACTGTAACAACAGTTCACCAAAGACGAAGAAGGATGAGCGAATGACAGAGAAAGATGAAAACACTAAGTTTGGCTCATCGGTTGTGCGTGGGCAATGATGCCTAGAGTATGCTATGTGCATCATTTACCCTGGAGTGGAGGTTATTCATGCAGCCTAGGAGGTAGGTCCCTTTGGGCAGCGGGTGTGGCCAGTGAAAAGACAGCAGCTGGGCCAGCTGCAGAGCCATCCCAGAGACTGTCAGATGGGGGAAGCAGGGAGGTGAGAGTGCAAGTCACTCCCCCTTAGTTCCAGGTTGGCAGAGCACTGCAAACCGGCCCTGCTATGTGTTTTGGAGGGGAGGCAATACAGTGTGGCCATAAGGGATGAAGAAGTAGGGCGGCTGGTAGAGAATGACTTTATTATAGTCAAGTAAAGTAGTAATCCTCGCCCCCACCCCCCACCCCGTACACACCGTATCTGGGTAGCTGTACCTAACTTTTTTTTTTTTTTGATGAAACTACTGATACAAGAGATGGAATCAATTTAAGCACTCTCTCCTCTCTCACACACTCACTCACTCCCCCCTCTCTCTACCTCTCTCTCTCTCCTCTCCCTCTCTCCCTTTTTCTGTTAACCTGGCTGGATTTGGATTTGTGGTGATCCTCCTGCCTCTACCTCCCAAGTGCTGGACTGTAGGCACGCACAGTAGACTCAGCTTTTCCACATACACTTCTAACCCCCAAATACTGCCTAGATTCCCAAAATACAAAAGTACTGGTGTTTAGTGGAAACTTCTGTTGTGATTTTTGGCAGTCCTCTATCTGCTCAGTATCTTTTGGCAGTGACAGGAATATTTTCCTTTTGGGGACCTGCTTGTCTCTGATTGGTTACATTCTGGTGGCACTATTAATGAATGGAGATGTCCTGCTCGCCACTCTGCAGACAAGCTATAGGACTCACCCAAATGGATGCTGCCTTGGAACCTGTTCCCACTCGGTGACACAGAGACCAAAGAGAGTTCACTTACTCCAGTAGTAATAGCACAGAGACTGTTACACTACTTCTGTGACATGGGCCTCAAGGGGGTCTTACTTTTCTGTGCCCCCCTGGCCCTGATTCTCTAACCTTCTCTGATCTGAGCACTTCCATATCATTCTAGAAAATTTCTGTTTTATCAAGTTAGTCAAAGTATATTTCTAACTTTGACGGCCAGCAGCCTTGTATTTATTTACTTCTCCTGTTGCTGTGGGAAAGAAGGATTTATTTAGGTTCACCGCTCTGGGGGAAGCACAATTGTGGTGGGGGAAGGAACCCGAGGCTGCAGAGAGCCTTGAATATGCCAGCTCAACTCTTCTCTGCTTTGTGCAGTCTGGGATCCCAGCCATGGATCCGTGCTGCCTACGTTCGGGGAGGGTCTTCTCGCTTCCATTAACCCAGTTGAAAAAACACTTCACAGGCAAGCTCAGTGGCTGCCCCGATCTAGATAATCTCTCACAGACATTTCCTGAGACTTGTGCCTCAGTGATTCTAGATCTATTCAAATCGATCATATTAACCATTGCAAACCTTAATTGGCTTGATGGGCAGTCTTGCCTAGGCATGTCAATCAATTCTTCTCATCGAAACTATAGTAAGGAGCATATAGTAAACATTTGTTCATCACATGGTGCCAAGTAAATTGCCAGGAATTGTTATGAGGGCTATTCCTTTCAACACAAGGTAGGGACAGACAGCTGTTTCATTTTTGGGTGGGAATACCAGGTGTTTCAGTCTGTCCAGGCAGCTAAGGAAACTTACAAACAACAGAAACTCATTCCTCATACTTCTAGAGGCCAGAAGTCCCAAGATCAAGGAATTTACAGAGACTGATCTGATGCTCCCCCAGACTCCGACCATGAACAGCTATCTTCCGCTGTCTAGGGTTGCATTGATCAGATACCAGCACATTCAGGATGACCCTGTCTCATGAATTTATCACCTTCCAGAGGTCCCAGCTCCAAATCCCACCACACACTGGAGAGTGGTCTTTGATGCAGAAGTTTTCACATCACAAACATTCTGCTAAGGGTTGGTAAACTGACCAAGTTCATTTTGTTTGTAATTGGCAGAGTTAGGGTTTGAATCCAGGTCCCGTGGTTTTTCAACATGTCTGTTACTGTTAGTTCCTTCTGTTTTCCCCCCACTGTAATACTTCTTTTGGGAATCTAAAGGCATTCAATAAAGCTAAATGTATTCCTTAGAAAACACATTATAATCTATTCAGAAGATTTAGGATATATATCTATATATGTGATACTTTATATAATATACACTTATGATACTTTCAGTCAATATCATGGGAAGTATATATCTGAGCTATTACAGAGTCCCGAAAGATTTATAGAGTGATAGTGCTTGCTGACCATAGAGATTAATCAATTCAACTTTCTTGGCTTAATTGATAAGAAAATGGAGTTTAACAAATGTCTATATCGTCAAGCAATACCAAAGTTACTATGAGCAGATAATGAGGTTTAGATCCAAACCAATTTAGCTTAGTCACAAGACAGGTGGGACTGGTAAATTTACACAGCTCAATTAAGATCTTTGAGCGGAAAGGGGCCTCCAGGTTTCCTATAATAGCGTATCCATCTGCCTCTCTCAGGTGGAGTTGAGACAGTTTCAGTGTCTTGTCTGTCTTTACAGACTACAGAGAAGGAAATTCACCTCCTCTGTGAATCCCTGAGCATCACTTACACTTCACCCTAATGACACTTTTACCTATAAACATAGAGCATTTTAGATGTCTGTTTAAAAACTAATGTATTCTATTTAAAGGCATTTCAAACTGTTATTTGGAAACCAGAAGCCACTGTAAAAGCAAGCTGAAACATTGCGAGGTGAAAGAGAAGGGTGTAAAATATGACCCCGGGAGTATTTTCACAGTTAGAAATAATGCAAGTCCTAGGCTTCAGAAATAAGGAAATTGTGTGAGAGAGGGTTGGGTGATGGGAATGCTATCTTTAACTGGGAGAGTGGTTACAGGGGTTTCCACACCAGAGTGCGAAACTAGGTTCAGCTTGGGCTCCTTCCACAGTGGAACTCAATACAGAGAATTTTGTTTTTCAAGACAGGGTTTCCCTGTGTAGCCCTGGCTGTTCTGGAACTCATTCTGTAGATGAAGCTGGCCTTAAACTCAGAGAGACCCACAGGCCTCTGCCTCCCGAATGCTTCGATTAAAGGTGTGCTCTACCATGCCCTGATAACACAGTGAATATTTATGGAAAGTTTCTTGTATGTGATCTCCTGAGCTAAGACCTTGGAGAATGAAGCTGCCCTTTAGTATTTGTAAGGATTAACTTCAGGACCCTTTGCGCATCCCCAAATGGACACATGCACAAGACCCTTACCTTATATAAAATGATGTTTCTGTCTAGTCTGTGCACATTCTCCTATAGTTTTAATCATCCCTCAGCTAAGTATAATACATAACACATTGTAAATTCTGTGTAAATGGTTGCTATGTGATAGTTTGGGGGAATGATAACAAGGGAAAAAAGTCCAATCATGGCCAGTATAATTTTTTTCCCAAATATTTTCATTCCACGGTTGTTTGTACCCTCTTATGTTCTCTCTCCAAAGCACCCTAGGCCAAAATGTTTAA